CCCCAAAACCCCAAAACCCCAAAACCCCAAAACCCCAAAACCCCAAAACCCCGCCCTTCACCTAACAATTGAAATTTCATTTGAAATTAATATGAAATAATGAGAATGCAAGCACAACTGCAACAGCAGCATCATATAACTGAGATTAGTAATCAGAAGTATCATCTCTTAGTACATAGATGATAGTTCTTTCATCATGTTGAACTTTGTCACCTCCTTTAATCAATTCATTGAATACATCTCTGGCTATCTTTTTGCTGATACTTTTGCTCGTGAAAGTAATCTTGTTTGAAACTAAATCTTTCAAACTATCTCTGAGTTTCTTAATCAATCTCTTCAACTCGGATAAGTTCTTAGTAATAGTACCTTCTGTACCGAACAAAATATCCTTTACAATGAGTTCTTCAAATCTTGGTCCTTCAATAGCTATGTTTTGAAGAAACTCTCCTCTTATAAAGGCGTACAAAGGTGAGGAGATACGAACTTCATTAAGCATTAAAATCTGAATGGCCGGTAATGAGCCAATCAATTGCCCAAGCTCGGCTTCTGTTACTCTTATTCCAGATATAACTACTTTCTGATAGTTAATCATCAAATTGACAGGAAATCCTTCTTCTCTTCCTGAGAGGAAAGATAAAAGCTCATAATGGAGTGATCCGTTGAAGTCTATTTGGAGCACTTGAGTTGTGGTCCTTATAGATCAATGCTCATCAAGCTGTTGCAGTAGGTCTTGTCTATCTAAAAGGCCATCTTCCATCAAATACAAAACTGTTATGACCTAAATAATTTCAAAAACTGGCTTACCTCGCTTTCACCATCTATTCTGGATACTCTAATATTTAAAACTTTCTCCTTCAAAACATCGTTGTGTTTGAAACTCTGACCTTCGAGCCTACCTTCTGAACCTTTTATGAGCTCTTCTTCTAAATCTCCTTTTGTTTCTTTATCATCAACAAATTCTTCTTGAGAGGAGATGTTTCACATTGCTTCGAAGTTCTCGGCTAATTCTCTGCTATCATTCAGGCAAAGAGAAGAAATCGAGGATTCGTCGACACTGAGCCTGTCATCATTGTTAATTGTAGGAGTACTATTCCTCAAGCTATTTATTTCTTCTTTGTATTTATCACCAAGCTTCTCTTTTAGCAAAGAGTTTGCTTCTTCAGTTTTGAAAAATTCTGGAAGCTTCTTATCACTTCTTTGAAGCTCATCAAAGATGTCTATCAAGTGAGCGTTGAATACTTACTGCTGATGATATTCAGCATGCATTGAAGCCATGCTTCTTTGTCTTCAACGAAGTTTGATATTTCAATGGTTTGTATTAAAGCATTAACAAACACATCTATCATTTTCTCTTGCCTTTCATTGCCTAAAGAATTACTGCAACTCTTACCTATTCTTCCTAACTCATCTAGACTTTCACTGACTCTCCCAATAAGATCTTGGTATTGAATATCATCAACCTCTACTCCATATTGATCCATGTTCGGGCTCAGAGTAGGATGTCCTTTTTCCTCTAAAAATTGACCAGTATCCTTACCTTCTACCAGTATCTTCTGTGGTCTGGAGGAATTTGATGAGTCGCTGTGTCTGAACCTCACCAGTTGCTTCTTTGCATCTTGAGAGTTTTCAGCATTCCATGGCTGCATCCTAGCGTTGGGAGGAGTAATGAAGATATTCGTGGTGGGGTTCGATTCTTGATGAATTTGAATATCACCACGAGTCCCAACATTGCTAATCTGACCAAAGTTTATCGTAGTTTGGGTGGAGTCCTGAGCAGAGTCCTGAGCAGAGTCCTGGGCAGAGTCCTGAGCGGAGTCCTGAGCGGAATCCTGAGCGGAGTCCTGGGCTAATTGCTGGGCGTTGCGTTCTTGAATAGTTTCATAGAGTCTCTGGTTTCTGAGCAATTTACGAAGCTTCATTCTTTGCTTTTGAATTATCTTATTCTGCTTCTTCAGAAGTTTGATTTTTTGGATTGAATCATAGCAGGCATAATCCTCATCCTTAGGATTTTTATCATCACTGCTTACCAATCCTCCAATCAAATTTCCTATGAACTTACGACTTTCGCATATATTCCTTCTGTCCATCTTAATTAATTATTATTGTTTCAACACTGGCCCTTTTAACGGGGTTTTGGGGTTTTGGGGTTTTGGGGTTTTGGGGTTTTGGGGTTTTGGGG